ATACACCTTCCAGTTAGCTACAGTCTCCACCACTTTCTATTGTCTCACTCATTTACAATATCTGCAGGTTTCCAAACTTTGTCACTTGTGTCTTAGATTTACAAGAGCTCCGTAGCTTTAGATTCAGAAAACTGTCAAAACAGCCAGGCATGGAGGCACATGCCTATAATCCGAGGCTGGGGAGGCTGATGATTGCAAGTTCAAGGCCAGCCTCAGCAACTTAGTGAGACCCTAAGCAACTTAGAGACACCATCTCAAAATAAAAATTAAAAAGGGCTGGGAATGTAGCTCAGGGCTGGGAATGTAGCCCAGATTCAATCCCCAGTACCAAAGGAAAGAAGAAGAAGGTGGAGGAGCAAGAAGAGGAGGAGGAGGAACAGGAAAAGGAGGAGGAGGAGAATAGGTCAAGCAAAATATTGCATGGATTCCCCTACACACAGAGACACATACACACAAATAATTCCCACCTTGTCCTTCTGCCAATGTAATGCTCTTGGTAGACTCAAAACCCATCTACATGATCAATCAGACCACCACATTTCTACAAGAACTGGGGCTCTGCCATGGGATGCATAGTTCTCTTTAGAAAACCTTCTATCCACGGGGCTCTAAACGCTTCCTCTTGTTATATAGCTGCCTGAGGTCACCACCAATAAATTACTGGCTTAAGGAAAACAATGACAAGTCTTTTCCATGGAGAACAGGGTTTGTTCACTCAATTATTTCCTAAAGTCATGCCCTCTTTCCCAGCTTGACACCATAATTTTTGAAGCAATAGCACTGAGTCTGTTTGGTGCTGTTCTTCACACCCACAAAGTCACACAGCACCTGCCACATGAGCACAGCAAAGTTTGAGAACAATTCTTCCTCCTGGCAGTGGAATTAGTGAAGTAATGATCATTGCATTGCTAATTAAGTGGCTGCTTTGTTAAAATGACTTACCAGGGTGACTCTAAATTGGCTATATTTGTTTACCAGCCTAGCTTTTTTTCTTTGGGTAGGAAATTATGTTGACTGCTCCTGACTGCTCTAAAACTTTGAAAGAAATCACAAATAGTCTCATTTTACTGAAAGCAAACCTTTTAGAAATTTAAGATGTGATTGAAATAATTCCAAGAAAACCAGTAATAATTTTCCTAAATTGGTATAGAGCTGCTTAAGTTCTAAGGCTTAAGTTTCTTTTCCAAAGTCATTTTCCACCTGTAAGTGTTGGAGACAGAAGGCATTAGAGAAGGAGGAGTGGGCTGGGTGTGGTCAGGCAGGAGACCATTTCACTTAACACCACCTTGCAAATAGTTGACATTTGATAGCATTGTCTCTTTGAGATTTGTAACCTATTGCTAGAATTACATGACCCTTGGGGGAAACAGGCTTGCTTTCTCTATTTCTTTTCTTTTCTTTTTTTTTTTTTAATGACTTGGGAAAATATTAACTTTATCCCTTTGAGTATCCCCTACAACCATCAAGGAAGTTTGTACTACTTTTTCTCTTTCAGAAACAAAAGCTATCAAACATTTTAAAAAGAGATTGGAAGGGTCTGTGAGAGGACAGGAGGATGCTATATATTMTTCAGGCCTTTAAGATCCCTGTCTCCTGCCATCCACCTTCAGGAAGAGGACTGTCCCTAAGCTATCTTCTGTCTCTGACCTGAAGCCTATTTTGGAACAGAGTACAGCTTTCTGTCAAACACATAAGTACACATAGACTTACACATGAATCAACCAGCTACAGAGAGAGCAACAGGAGGTGGCAGGATGCTTGCCACCATGTCACTTGATTTGCAAGCATCTCCTCCAAACCAAGGCCAAGGCTAGTAATTCCCTGGGCTAAAGCCAACTTGAGAACTTGGGGACACTGCCAAAGCCCTGACAGCCCCTAAGCCTGGATCTGTTCTCAGAGCCACATAGGAAAGAATATTTAGGGGAGAGGAATAAAGACATACATGCATTTAAAAGTTGGATTACTTCACAAGAGATGCCACTCAAGCACTAGGTAAGTAAATGTCAAGTGACCTTCCAGAGGATGCAGCTTTCAGAGGGTAAATTGCAATGGCCAGAAAAAGGGAGACATTGTAATGGAGTGGAACAAGCCGGAGCTCTGGAGCCAGACAGACTGAGTGCAGATCCTCACTGTGTGGTCACAGGCAAGTTGCTCATCCTCTCCAGACCTTATTTTCTTTACCTAAGGAAGAGAAGTAATGGCACCTGCCTTACAGAATTGTTGAGGAGATTATCTGGGGTTGGTTGCACTTAACAAGCAATCAATGTTTGAGTTTTGTTTGTTTTTTAAAGTATATCATAGAGTACTGAAAACAGTGGTTTAGGTAAGATTAACAGGGAGAAAACAAGGAGGACTATCACGAAAAAATTTATCACATCTAGTGAATACTTTAGGAAGTAGAAAAGTATGAGAAAGGAGGCATTCTGATTCCTTTTTTTCTTTTTTGTTAAAATTTATTGACATTTTTCTGAATATGAAAATGCTTCATTACTATTTTAGAAAAAAATGGAGAGTGTTAAAATGCAAGGAAGAAAGTAAAAAATCAAATATAATTATCTAGYCAATGAAGCTTCCTATAAATATTTCATTTTTCATCCTGTCTTTTCCTAAATGTGTATTTTAACAAAATTGAGATTACACTATATACACAGTTTGGAATCCTGCTTTTGGCACTTATTGTTTCATATTTTCCCATGTTACTAAAAATTCTTCACAACATTATCTGCAGTGTCCACAGGGAATTTCATATATAGATGTACCAAAATCTCAACTATCCACCAACAATGGAGTTATGGTATTGTTCAGATATTTCACTATTATTAATGGTCATAAGTTAATTATTAACTATTATTAATGTGGCATAAGTCTTTCTTCCTTAGGATAAATTTCTATAGGTGAAATTACTGACCTAAGGTTCCTGCTGAATATAAAATACTTTTCACTGAGGCTGTCCCAACCCACACTTCTACCAGTAGTTAGAGATAGAGACAGCTGCTCTTTTCAAAGCCCAAAGCCAAATATTATCTTTGAAAGAAAAAAATTTCGGCTAATTTATAGTCACTAAATAGCATTTCATTGTTCTTTTGTTTCCTCTTATCTTAAAATGATCCTTAAAAGGAGCGTTCAGATAAACGCAGACTTCTTTTGTCCGCAAACAATCAACAAATATTTATTATTCAAATCATTCTACTAGGGATATATCCTCTCTTCCTTTGGGGGCAAGTTTGAGAGATTCCACCTTTCAGATTTTTGCCATTGTGAAGAATGGATTTTGGAGATACAACACAGCTGTCATTCCAGGATAAAACATACTGATCCCGTCACTACAAAGCTTCCCAAAATGCAAGTCCTATAGCCGGTCTGAAATTCCAGTCCTTCAACGGATCTTCTGCCTGTCCTAACTAGCTTATCAATAAGAAAACCCTGAAGTTGTGTTTAGACGTTTTAATAAAAGTGCTTTTGAGTTTTTGTATGTCATTTGGAAGGTTTTGAGAGTTCCACCTGACCCCCAATATCAGCTTTCCTGTACCTGCTAAAATGCAGTGTACAGGGAAACCTTCAAAGGCAAACATTAGGGAGCCGGCCCTTACAAAAGAAAATCATGCTCAGTAGAGAAAAGGGTCTCAGTCTCCCGAAACACCTCTAAACCGAAAGCTTTTCCTTTGATAAAGTAAAGGTGGGATACTGYTCAGGGTCCACTTTGGACAAATCCTCTCCTTAGGGCTGTCCCAAGATAGGAGGGTGCAATCTGGGGTCCGTGCCATCGCGCAACCAGAGGTCTCGGGACCCGAAGCTCCTACCTGGGAACCAGCTAGGACTCCTGCGGTCCCTCAGTGTGCAGTCGCACTGATTCTCAGCCCCGCCCCTCCCTCGCTCCCCGCCGCGCCCAGGCGAGACGCAGGCGGGAAGTGGCGAGGGGCTGGAAATTTATGTCTGGACGCCTACTGCAAACCCCAGCCCGTCTGGGGCTGCTTTAACGGTCCAATCCCCGCCCCGCCCCTCAACCTAATTTCTCGTTTGTGCTAAAGCTGTTCTCCACACACAACCGTGGAAGACAACGGATGCGGCGCGGAAACCTGGTTCCGTCCAGGCTTTGAATCCCAAGGCACTTCGTCTCTGCGGCCGGTCTTCAGTTTCCAAGGACGCTCCCCCTCCCGGGCACGTGGCACACAGTCGGCCCTTTGTGCATAATCTGTTGACTAAATGCATCTCTGTGATGTTACCGTCCACACGTTTAAGAGAATGAGCAAGTGATTCTAAATTCCTTGTGATGTTACAGAAAGTCCCAATCGCCAAACTCTTTTAATAATCGCACACACAAAAAATATTATTCATGAATTGGTTGCCACTATTGTGAATTTACTCCCAGGAACACACTTCTACWTCTCTGTTAGTCTCAAGAATTGTATCAAATCCTATCTTCTTCGGAAAGGTGTTTCCTGATTACTTACGCCTGACCCTGATGTAATTACTATGATTATTCACATAAAGTTATACACAGTTTTGCTGCGAAGCACCTTTACAAAAATCTGCCGAATGGACAGCATCTGCTGAAAGAGCGGGGAATGGAGTCAGACGCTCGGCCCMGTTTTCAACATTGCCGCCTACTGGTTGGGTTACTATCGTAAGTCACTTCCCCTCTCTGGACCTCAGTGTCTCCATCTGTAGCATTTCCAGGTCTGGATTCCATCCACGTGAGTGAGAATTGTCGCACTCACCACGCAGAGATGCGTCTCACGGTCGCGCTTCCCGCCTCCCTCCAGATGCATAAGGCTTTCCCCCAAATTCGGGGACTTTCTACCYTACACTGGACTTTCAAAAGTGACCATCGGTGGTCCACTACGGCTCTGGAGCTCCCCAAGCAGCTCACCCCTAGGCCCCGCCCCTCCGTCCTCTGCTTGGTTGCCAGTCCTTCTCCCCAAACACGCCCCCCCCGCCCTCTTAACTGCGCATGCGCGGTTTAGCGAGCGTGTTTTTATAAAAGTCCGGCTTCGGCCAGAAACTTCAATCTGTTGGCTGTTGCAGCAGGTAGCAAAGTGACCCTGAGGACCTGAGTTCTCCCGTGGCTTCCGCGACTGGAGAAGGAGCGGCTACCATGGAAGGGATCAGTGTAAGTCCAGTTCCAACCTTTGTGCTAAACGTACAGACGCTTGAACTTAGAGCTCAGCCGCTCTCGGAGCGGGCAGAAGGGACCAGAACATTGGATATGTCCATGACCCAAAGGAGGGACATGGAAAGAAATTTTCAGGACTATGGCTATGTGGTGGGTTAAGATTGGAATTCTTTTTTTTTCCCCTGAAAGTTTAGGGGAAAAAATTGAAATGAGGGTTCATGCGGCTGCATGTGTCTCCCCCTTGAGTCCTGCGGCGCACGCTGTTTGCAAACATAACATTTTGCCCAAGTGCTGGGAAGGCGCGCGCTTTGCCCCAGTATTCGGAACTTTGGTCTCTTCCTCCCAGGAAAGTGAGTGTCTTGGAGCGAGTTACATTATCTGAACCTAGAGCGGGGGGTCAGCGCTCCTGGGCTGATTTTCCAGAAGTATTCTGCGTCCTAGGTTAACGTCGAGCACAAGCTCTTGGGGACTGTTTCTTGCCTTTGGGCGCACGTTAGCTTAACTCCGTGCAGCCAGCAGAGGTGTGCCAGACTCTGGCACAGTGGGCAGACGGCGGGAAAGTCGGGCAGGCGCATTGCGCTGCTTGCTTGAGGGGTCAAAGCTGTGGCAGCAGCCGGGAGGTGGTTGGGAGCTATCCGCACGCACCCCTTGGGATTGAGAAAAAAGGTGCGGTGCCCAAAGCGCTTCGCTTGCCCCTAGTGGGGCCTCGAAGTTTGGGAGTTTGGGATTGTGCAGAGGTCGAAGGAGGCAGGCATATAGAACTTCTGGCCCCGAGGTGTGTGCAGCAGGCACTGAAGTAGCAGGGGTATTGGGACAGCACCTGGGCTGCCTGGTCTCCCGGGCGAAGAACAGGTGCAAGCGGGGAGACCGTTTGGCTGTCTTCTAACCTATTGCGTCGCTTAACCGTCGGTGGTTTCCTGAAGCCTTTTGAAACCTCCTTGCCAGGGAGGTTTTTCATTTCCTCCCGCGGCGCGCAATTCAAAGGAGCTCACCAYGGAGCCGCCCAATCTCTCTTTAGCACCCTGAGGGGCAAGCCTGGCCGCACAACCGGGCGGAACCCCTGGAGCCGCTACCAGCCTGTTGTGGATGTGGGTGTGGTGGGCAGCGGCTCGGCTGTGGTGGGGCGGGGTGATCCGACCCCTCGTAAGCCCAATGTCTGGAGGCTTCCAACTGCCCCCTTCCGACCCCTTCAACTGGATCGGTGGCAGGGTGGAAAGTGACCTGGGAGAGTGAGGAAATGAAACTTGGGGCKCGGACCACGAGTGCAGACCCCGTGACTTTCCCCACCCAGGAAAATGCCGCGCTCCCTAACGTCTCAAACGCGCCAAGTAATAAACACGAGGTTGGCAAAAGAGGCCCACGCCCCCAAGGAGCGTCGGTTTGGACTAAGGGGGTGCCATTTGCCCGTTTCTGACAATTTCTCTCAATACTGCAAGCCCTAAAAGACCTCGCTTTAATGCCGCAGTCTCCTTCCCCACTACGTGTTGCTTGAAGCGCAGAATGGTTTGTATTTAGACCKGCGTGGGAAAAACAACATTTTGCGTTTTAAAAGAATAAAAGACTTCAGGATTGTGAAGCCCCCTCCCTCCCCCGTCTGTTCCTTCCTCCCCTCTGGCCTCTTTTGGCTAATCTTCATACAAAAAGTTAATCCCAGCTCCTCCAGCAACCCTAGATTCTACACCCACATTGCCCCCACCCCATGCCGCCTGGGAGTGGCCTCTTTGTGTGTATGTTTGGTTTTTTTTTTTTTTCTCCCTTGTACTTTTTTTTTCCTTTCCTCTAGTGGGCGGGGCAGAAGAGTTAGCCAAGATGTGACTTTGAAACCCTCAGAGTCTCAGCGCCCTTTTGTTCTAAACAAAGAATCTTGTAATTGGTTCCACTAAAGAGGGATATAATGAAGTAACTATGGGGGAAGATGGGGAGTATGGCTGTAGGATTTTATAATTCTTTTGGGCCTTTCCCCAGTACTTTAGAATTTCCTGAAGAAGGCTGACCTGAATTGGGTTTATATATATATATATATATATATATATATATATATATATATATGCACACACAATAAATTGTTTGCTTTTAATACCCAGAAACATTTTTTTAAAACTTGGGTGGTGTCTGCTGACCTTGGAAGTGAATGTGTACCCTTGCCTCTTTTGCAGATATACACCTCAGATAACTACTCGGAGGAATTGGGCTCAGGGGACTATGACTCTATAAAGGAACCCTGCTTCCGGGAGGAAAGTGCCCATTTCAACCGTATCTTCCTGCCCACCATCTACTCCATCATCTTTTTGACTGGCATTGTGGGCAACGGATTGGTGATCCTGGTCATGGGTTACCAGAAGAAATTGAGAAGCATGACGGACAAGTACAGGCTGCATCTGTCAGTGGCCGACCTCCTTTTTGTCATCACACTTCCATTCTGGGCTGTTGATGCTGTGGCAAATTGGTACTTTGGGAAATTTCTATGCAAAGCAGTCCATGTCATCTATACTGTCAACCTGTATAGTAGTGTCCTCATCCTGGCCTTTATCAGTCTGGACCGATACCTGGCCATTGTTCATGCCACCAATAGTCAGAGGCCAAGAAAGCTGTTGGCTGAAAAGGCGGTGTATGTTGGCGTCTGGATCCCTGCTCTCCTGCTAACTATTCCTGATTTAATCTTTGCCAATATCAGTGAGGCAGAAGGGAAATATATCTGTGACCGCTTTTACCCCAATGACATGTGGGTAGTTGTATTCCAGTTTCAGCACATCATGGTTGGCCTTATCCTGCCTGGTATTGTCATCCTGTCCTGCTATTGCATTATCATCTCTAAGCTGTCACACTCCAAGGGCCACCAGAAGCGCAAAGCACTCAAGACCACCGTCATCCTCATCCTGGCTTTCTTTGCCTGCTGGCTGCCCTACTACATTGGGATCAGTATCGACTCTTTCATTCTTCTAGAAATCATCAAACAAGGATGTGAATTTGAGAACACTGTGCACAAGTGGATTTCCATCACCGAGGCCCTTGCATTTTTCCACTGTTGCCTGAATCCCATCCTCTATGCCTTCCTTGGAGCCAAATTTAAAACCTCAGCCCAGCATGCACTCACCTCTGTGAGCAGAGGGTCCAGCCTCAAGATTCTCTCCAAAGGCAAACGAGGTGGACATTCTTCTGTTTCAACTGAGTCTGAGTCTTCAAGTTTTCACTCCAGCTAACGTTGATGTAAAAGACTTTTTTTTTATATGAAAAAGAACTTTTTTTTAAGTTACACATTTTTCAGATATAAAAGACTGACCAATACTGTACAGTTTTTATTGACTGTTGGATTTTTGTCTTGTGTTTTTTAGTTTTTGTGAGGTTTAATTGACTTATTTATATAAATATTTTTTTGTTTGTTTCATGTTAATGAGTGTCTAGGCAGGACCTGTGGCCAAGTTTTTAGTTGCTGTATGTCTGGTTGTAAGACTTTAGAAAAGGGAACTGAACATTCTAGAGTGTGTAGTGAATCACATAAAGCTAGAAATTATCCTCAGCTGTTTGTGCATAAATAATCTTTCCATTCCAGTGGAACATCTTTTTTTTCCTCCCCTTTTCTTAAGTTTTTTGGTTACACTGTGTGATTTTGCTCTAGAAGACAGCACTTATAACCAAAGTCTTAAGTGGTATAGAAATGCTGGTTTTTCAGTTTTCAGGAATGGGTTGATTTCAGCACCTACAATGTACAGTCTTGTATTAAGTTGTTAATAAAAGTACATGATAAACTTCCTTGGTGTTTTGTTCTGGTTTCTGTTAACATCCCCTTGGTTGGCAGAAGACAAAAATAATAGACATGTTTATGGCATACCAAATACAAGCAAAGGTATTTTTCTGGTAATATTTTACTTACACTTATCTATAATAGTTTCTGCTTCTGTTATTACTTAACATTTTATAGAGGAGGAAACTGAGGCACAGAAAGCCTAAGTAACTTGTTCCAAGGCATGTGATCATTAGCAGAGCCAATATTTCATACCAGGTAACATCTCTCTTAAGTCACGTTAAGTCATCCAAAGCTGTAACCAYGATTTCAACTCCAATGGAAGTCTGGAAATGTTCATCCAGTGCCCATTCTTATTAAAGATCATCTTTCAGAAGGATATGTGCATGTGAAGAAGGAATAGCATGCAGTAATGTTTGGATTTTACTGCTGCTTTCCCCTTGTGTAATCCAGGTCAGGGGCATGCTCTTCTCATCTAACCCTTTCTGTATAGATGCCATCACTCCCTTTTTACAGAGGAGGRAAATGAGGTTCAGAGACTTTCCAGAACTCGAATTTTTTAACAGGTAGAGCCAAGAGCTGATCCTACTTAACCGTTCCAGCTTTTGCTCTTAACCATTAACCACTATTGTCCCCCAGAACACCTGGTCATATTTCAACTGAATTGTTATTGAAAATAAGGCCAAAAGTGAATGTTTTCTTCATAAAATTAACCATGCCCAAAATACCCTTCTTGCAATATCTCCTATGCAAATTCTAACACTTTTTTATTCTTCATCTATTGCAACATCTCATACCTCCTTTGAAAGGCTCAGCCAAGCAGCTAAAAGTTAGTATTGGTGCTTTTTAAAGCTCAAAAGAAAGGTCTACTGAAGCAAGCTCTTCATTGCCCATATTTTGCACATTACCCATATTTTGCACAAGATTTTGGAGTCTTATGTAATATCACTGTAGCTATTTACACTACCATTGTGCAAGCCAYAGGCTCTTGAGTAAATTTCACCTCCGGTCTCCAGTTTAAGATAATTTCCAGACTGTAGTGGCCATACCTACCTCACTTTGGAACAGAGTGCTCCAGGCATGCACTCAGAAAATGAGTGGGATATAATTAAGGCAATACTTGGTCGACTTGTGGTAATTGTTTCTGGCAAAGAAAATCCATTTTGGAGGAAAAATTGCAATGCCTTATCTTTCTAAAGCAAATCACATTTGTTCAAGACAAATTATAGATCCTGTGAAGGGAAATAACTTAATTACTTAAAATAGAATCTAATTTGGCTGTACATTTTTGCTGCAGTCTATGGAACTGGGATAATTCAGACTGGTATTCCTATTCCACTTGAGAACACAATTAGATTTGAGATAGGAAATTATCTTGAGGTTTCTTGGTTTTCCCTAGGAAGCCTAATTGGATCACCCTTCATTTAAGCATAGTTTTAGATGTACTCTCTCAAAGGCTCAGTCTTAAAGCCATGACCACTGTGACAGACTTCACTTGAACCTTCGCTATAAATATTTATTCTCTGAGAGACAATAAAAGAAATCCTTGGAAGGAATTCCTTTTCTTTCTCATCTTGGCTTGAAAACCTTCTTACCCCAAATTCCTCTCCTTTGCCGTGGAGTCACAACAAAAGGAACTGAGCCGAAACAAAATTCCCAGTGTCACCAGTCTTAATGGATATTTCATTCTCCYGTGGAACAAAGGTGGGATAGCTCTTTTTCAAAAGGGGGGGAAAAAAAAGCTTTGGCTCTCTCCCTGCACCAAAAGGCTCTCCCCACCCCCATTCTATCCCTAGCCTGCTATGATCAGAGTAGCTCCAAAGCCTTCCCTATGTGGTAGTTTGTCTGACAATGCAGGGAAAGCCAGTTGGCTAGCCACCCTCTCATGAAGTRGGTGATTGTTCCTTCTCCTCTACCCCTGTGAATGAGGCCCTTGAAGGTCAGTAATGTAGATGCAATTGTATAATGAAAACTAAAATATTTAAATTGTATGCATGCCAATAATGGCATAGATATGACATCTGACTTGTTAATAACATTAAGTCAGTAACTAGGGAGGAATGTGGATGATTTTATCTTGAAAAACTTTTGTTTTCTTAAACTGCCACTTGGCAATTTATCTCCCTTATTGTGGGCTTCCCAGCTCCTTTTGTGGCTATGTTAAAATAATGATTCCAGGGTATTCTTTTAAGAAAACACAGGCTTTGTTTTAATAATCAAACTAATTGTCTGTGACTTTCTTCTGGCGTATCATCAGACATTAAATAAAGACTCCCAAAAATAATTGAATTTCATTGTTCCCAGATAATACTTATTAAGGAGGGACCAGGAACCCTCAAAACAAAATCCAAATTACTTTGGGACACAATCCAGTATGCCCTAACAGAAATGCAGCATTGCAGCCTGGCATCATAAGGATTTGCCCAGCCCACTTTAAAGCCATCTTCCACCTGGCTACCAATGTGCCTAAGCCTCTTAGTGCCAGAGAGATCCACAAGTAGCCAGATGAATGACTTTTYTGAGAGCACAGCCTAAGAGAGATGTTAGTGCCTCATGGATCAATAAAGTCGTTGAAATGAATTCTTTAAAAGCAATGGTCCTCAACTGGGGCAATTTTCCCCCCTGGGAACATTTGGTAAGGTCTGGAAACATGGGCACTACAGATGAGGTGCTACTAGCATCTAGTGTACAGGGGCCAGAGATGCTGCTAAATATCCTACAAAACTGAGGACAGCATCCACAACAAAGAATCATCTATAGTAGTGCTCAAAGTTGAGAACCCTTTTTTAAGGTTACAGTGATTATCAAAATAAAGATACCTCCAGGCTAGTTGTGGTAGCATGCACCTATAATCCCAGCCACTTGGGAAGCTAAGACARGAGGATTACAAGTTTGAGTTCAGCCTTGGCAACTTAATGAGAATTTGTCTCAAAATAAAATTTAAAAAGAGCTTGGGTTGTAGGTCAGTGATAGAGCGCYCCAGCAACACACACACACACACACACACACACACACACGCACACACACACACACACACACACACACATCAGTATAATTCTGGAAAATAACATGAATCCACAAAGAGCTTGAATCTGCCATGGTGTAAATGTTTATATCCTACCAAAATTCCTATGTTGAAATCTTAACTTCCAAGATGAAGGTATTACAAGGTAGGGCCTTTGGGAAGTGATTAGGTCCTAAGGGCATAGCCCTCATCATTGGGATTAGTACCCTTAGAAAAGATACCCCAGAAACCCAGTTAGCCCYTTCCACCATGTGAGAATATGACTTCAAGGCACCATCTATGAACCTGAAAGCAGTCCCTCACCAGGTCTCCTCTATTTCTTGACAGGCTGCTGCCYCCCATGCTAGGAAACTATCCCACACAGGACAATAAATGCTAAAAGAGTGACTGCTAAAGATTCTCTGATTCCCTTCAAGTTTCTTTMATGTTTACTCATTTAATCCTCATCAGTGCCTGTGACTCAATTTGGAACACTTCCCGTTTTTCTCCTTTTATTTAAAAAATAAACAAGGAATGATGAGGTACCAGCCCATCGTTCCATTGTCTGCAACTGACTCGGATTAATTTAAATCAATCCTATTAAGTCCAACAATTAAAATCTTCTAAATCATCTGAAAAGTCCTTTCAAGTGAAAATGCAAGTTGATTAYATGCCGAGTTGAGGGATCCACAATGTTCAAGGGGCTCAGAAGGGGAAAGCATTTTTCAAAATCAGACAAACAAAGGTGTCTGTACCAGGTGTGAAATGTTTATCTGGCAGAAGTAGTCCACGATTAAATTCATTTACATATTACAGTTCAACTAACCAGAACCCAACTCATCAACACTGTAAATTAAAAGGAATTACTTCCTCATATTTGACTGTGACGGAAAGAAAGTAATACATAYTGAGAGCCATTACATCTCAGGCACTAACGTACTCGGATTACAAGAGCTCCTGCCAGTTAGATATTGCTCTTTCCACTTTTAGGCAAGGATACTATCAAAAAAGTTAAACTATAAATAAAAGGGCTATGCTTTTTACTCTATGCACATTACAAATAACATTAAAACAGAACCTCTAAATTCTAGGGCATACCTTGAAATGCTCTATATATTTAGTCCAAATTTCTCTCTCTTCTATTTCCAGGTCAAGTCCTATGTGATAACATTAACAGTTATCATGTACCTTGAGGAATTTCTATACACCAAGCACTTTGATTATTCATTATTCAATAACTGTTACATAGTACTATTATTTGCCTATTATAGATGGGGAAACTAACTCATAGAAGTTGCTTAAATTTGACCCGTTAWCACATATTTAATGAATGATAAAGCCTGGATTTTAACCCAGGCAGTCTTACACCCAAGTGAGACCCTTTAAGCACTAGAGGGACTTTATTAATTGCTATGGTGTTAAACAATATTCAGCAAAATAACCACAATGTCAGAAGGATCCTTCATACTCTTCAATACTCTTCAACGTTGAATACTAGACACTCACCTGATGTACAAAGCAGACACCAACATTTTAGAAAGAGTTTCACTATTAACAGTTGTAATAAAAAGGAGTTCAGATGAACCTGATACACTGTGCCTTGCACACAGTAGGAGTTCAAAATATTTTGTTGAATGAACAAATGACTTCCATAAATTTCTATTTCTGAGCACACACCATTCCATTCTCTAAGCATTCTAATTCATGTTTGCATGTATGATTTGGCTTCCTTCATTCTTTCACAWTCATTTATTAAACAATACTCTGGACCAGGCAGGTATGAAAGCTGTTCACAGTAAGTGGAAGGTGTAGTTCTTTAATATTCTAGATATGCCTGAAAATTAGCTAAACAACTTTCAGACTTTTAATTTTCAACATTTTAAGAAATCAAAGTTTCTACCCAGTTTCCAGTTTCCAATTCAATCTTCCTATTACTGTTGACCTTCCATCCCCGTAGATTCCACATCCACAGATTCAACCAACTACAGATTAAAGATATTCAG